TGGTGAATTGTTCAACACTTGAACAACAGGAAAAACAAGGAAATGTAATGTCTCTTTGGTTGTTTAATACATATATGGATAAATGTATAAGGAGAGATTATAGTAAAAACAAGGATGTATTGCCTAGCAACATGAATGCGAATGTACTTTTGCATACAGATGATAGCAGGTTGTTGGCAGAGAACCCCAATCATTTGCAGTGAAAGAGATTATATAATGCAGTGGTTCTCAACCTGTGGGTCGGGACCCCATTTGGGGTCGAACGACCATTTCATGGGGGTCGCCAAACAATGCAGTCCGCCATTTTTTTCCCCTTTTCCTTAGCTGTGCTACTCCCTTTTATTCTATTGGCTTTTGAAAGCCAATAGAATAGCCTCTCTTGAATAGAGTCTAATTCTATTGGCTTTCAAAAGCCAATAGGAATTGTCCAGGCTGTCTCTGCCCTGCTGAGCCTGCCAAAAGTCCCATTCTGCAAACGGTGCTGCACCAGTTGAGCAGTCCTCGACTTACGACCAGTTGAGTAGTCCTCGACTTACGACCGGTTGGGGGTCGCGGCATTAAAAAGGTTGAGAACCACTGATATAATGCATCAAGAAATATGAATCTGCCAGTCAGTTACTAAAATACCAAGGCAGTCATACTGAAGAGGGAAAAACTAGGTGAATGGTTGCAAGTTATAAATTGTAACGAAAACTAAAGCAAATTGTTGAATTTATGTACTGTACATTGGTAAAACATTGAGCAAAGTTAGGAAAACGAGTGGAGATGTTTTAAGATGTGCAAATGCTGGTAGCAGGTAGTGGATTGTTTATGGTTTGTTATGAACAATGAGTATTGGTCAGAAGAAGCAAAAGAGTGCGTGTATGAAGTAAGTTCTTGTCTACTTTGTTGGATTAAATGAGAGTAGGAGATGTCAGGAGAAATAGCACAGTCAGCTGAATGCAGTACAAGCAAGCGCATGTTGTAAAAAGAAAAGAAAAGATAGGGTCAAGAATGAACGGGTGCTGAATGAATGTAGAATGAATAGAAAGCTGACTATTAGTCTGAAAGAAGCATGATGAGGTGCTTTGGTCATAAACAGAACAAATGAGGCTCTAATTGCAACAATATATAAAGGAAGAATGAATGAGTCAAGACAAAAGTGAAAAAGTTGTGGTTAGATAGCTTCTCAAAAAAAAAGAGAGGACAAGTTTAGCCAGCAAAAGTCTACAGTATAGTTTAAATCAGTGTATGGATGTGCAAAGATCGCTCGCAAATATTAGAAAGTACAGAAAGGTACTTATTTCATGTTTTTAATTCATTTGGCTTACTCTTTCTTAATCCTTTTCTGCATTCTGCAAGGAAAGGTGTGATATGTATGTATGAATATATGGCACTGTGTTCACTTGTGCTATGACTTGGTTATCTTATTTTCTTAATAGCTGTCCTGGTCCATAGCTCCAGCTGAAGTGTTTGAAGATGGGTAGTTGATCACCCTTCTCCTATGTACTCTTTCTGAGATTACAGCAGGGCTATGGAGGCACCCCTCCAATGTAATCATCTCTGTCGGTCAGTAGCATGAGCAGAGCTCAAATGCTTGGGGATCTTTCATTTTCTTAATGGTTTGGCTTCTGTGCAGCATCTAATTCAGATGTTGTGGTTATTATAAAAACACCATCTTTTCCACTGAGAATAATTTTACAAGCCTAAATTTGCAATTCATTAATTGTAAATTCATAGGCTAAATGTAAGAGTACTTACTTGCATGATATCAGTTTCTCTAATTTTTCCCTGATCTTTTTGCTTGCACATGAAATACCCAAGATACTAATATAATGAATGACTTGCAGATGAAGGATATTTTAAAAAAAGGAAAGAAAGAAATGGTCAAATTTGGATTTGTGGTTTCTTTTACTTCATCGCTTATGAAAAAATACACAGAAAGTATTTTGCCTCTTTATTGAAATGAAAATGTAAAATATACCATCTTTCTTTCTGGAAAGCAAAAAGATGCCTGTTTATTTTTATTTTGGCTTTTGTGCTCCTATTGCTGTAACAATAGTGCTATAAAACAGGGATGAAATGATGCAAGCAAACTGCTATACAGTTCTAAATTTTAAAATACAAGATGATTTGATGTTTAAATATAAAATATACATAACTAATATTATAAAAAACTAGATTGGAATTTATGCTTCAGTCCAACAATGGTCATGGGCATAAGAGTTTTCATTTAAATAGAGAAATTTAGTGCATTTAAATAAATTGCAGTTTTTATATAATAGATTGCATCTGGCATTTACTATGCAAGTAGATTGGACTTTTCTAGTAGAATGAATGAGGTAGTGAATGCTATAATTCCTGTATATACTTATTTCATAAATTGTGCACTGTCCACTGGGATGTTTTTGAGTTGCTTGAGATATGCATATGCATAATTGTAGTTAAACAGCTTTAGATGGAAGCCAGATACTGATTTCAATGTAATATAACTTTATATAATAGAAATTTCACTTGGGACCAATTTATAAGCATGGTAGAATATGTCATTTATGATTAGCATTGACTGATTGTGCCATCATGAGTATAATATGTGGAAATGATTCTTATGCAAAACCTATTCATGGATGTAATTGGAAGGAAAAGAAAAAGAATTGTTATAACCACGTACGTCACAAATGGTGGTGTACAATAAAATATTTTAAAATCCTGGATACAAATGTATAATGAAATTGACTCTCAGGATATTACGATTTTTTGAAACGTTATTATTTTGACTGGTTTTGATAATATGCCAGCTCATTACAGAAGCCTGCTTGGACCATGTGATCAAGAAGTTATATTCTAGTCAGTTTTAGTTAGACTATTACTGGTAATTAAAGCATAATTCTAGATTTTCATAACTAAAAACTCAATGGAAAGTATCAAAAAATTGTACATTTTATTATAATTATTTTTAATATGGTCTATAGAATAATTATTTGTACTCTCAAAAATATATATTCATGAATGAATATGCACTGTTTGTATTTCCATTACATCGCTACTACATGGCATTAGTAAGATCATTTTTTTAAAAGTTATCTATAATTCATACTGAGTACTGTATAACATGTTCTCTAAGCAATAATGTCTACTTTGTTTACTGGTGGTGAAATATTTTAGAAGTTGATTTTCTTTGTAATACAAAATTAATCTCCCAATATTGATTTACATAACATCTAGGAGAATTGAGCTTGAAAAGTGCCTTTAGACTAATTCTGGTTTGTTTCCTACTGTAACATTTCAAGTAACAATATACCATATTAAGGAGGAAAAAAATGCAGGGTGTAATTATATCAAGCTTTCTAGAGGTAGAGTGCAATAACCAACATGAAATGCTAAATATTTTTCAGAAACAAATATTTAATCACAAACTGGCTGAAATAAAACAGGTATTTTCCTCCATAAGAGAATAGACGTGCTAACCATTATCCTTGAGGTGGCAGAAAATTAGACGATGCGTGTTCTGTCCTCATCCTGCTTCTGTCCTGCGTCTATTGCCTGTCTTTAAAGTCATTTGTTATCCTTAAAATGGCATAAGTGCCACAGAGGAACAGATTTTACACCCCTTGAAGTTCTCCTTGGATGGTGTCAGAATAAAGGGTGGGAATATTGCTTTTCCACTGGTACAGCAAAAGGAGGCTTAAGCTGTCCTTTTCAGTGGGCTGGGGTTAAGATGCAAGCAACACTCTGGGGGCACTGGAAAAAAAGATGTTGCCAGTTGTTTGTGCTGTGGTTAGGTACAAATGGGAAGAGACTCTAAAAAACACCTGCTTTTATTGGCAAAAACTGCTTGGATCATCCAAAGTACTTTCAGTAAGTTTTAAAAGGTAACTAAATCTTTCTGCTGCTTATAAAATTAACATCTCAAGCTGGAGCAAGATGGTAAAGTACTTTCTTCATCAAACTAATAGTTAAGCTGGTTAGAGTTTATGAAACCAGCTTTGTACCTATGAATAAATGCCTATAGCTTTACCATATTTTTTTAAAAAAGACTGATACAAGTATGTGATAATTCACCATCTGCTTACATCATTCCCACATAAAATTAGTTACTTACCAGTGCAGCCATTTTGTTAATGTTATATGTGTTAATAACATTGTACAAGGCTAAAAATGACATGATCACTACTTTTATTCACAATGGTACTCATATTATCTTCATGGGGCACTACATTCATTTCTCTGAATAGGATCAGGAAACCAGCTGAAGGCTTAGTCAAAAGCATTTCTCATCATTAAGGTAAAGCCTTTCTTCCAAAACAGGTCATCATTGCATTTTAAATGCTATGCCAAATAATACATATGTACATTTCAATATGTACTCAAAGGACATATATGTGTACCATGCAAGAATAAAAAGTAGTTTTAAAATGCACAGTCATTTGTGCAAGTGCATTGCCAAAAGAGAATGCAAAATAATGGCTCTTGCTCTGAAATTAATATGCTGCTTTCCTTTCTGAATTACAGAAACTTAGAAGTACTTACGCACTGATAATTTGTGTTTTCATGTCAATGGGAAGTAACCGGTTAAATATAGTTTGCTGCTTATGCATATTCTATCTGCATCAGACATGAAAATGCTGCTTTCAGTTTTTGGTTGGTTTGGTCATAATTTTGGGGAAATGCTGCAATTCATACTGCTCTCTATATTACCTCATTTGAATAATCAGCAGTCGTTCATGCTAATAAAGCATTTCTTAATTTTTAATTCTGTATTTGGCTCCCAATGTTAACAAAACTGGTTCCAAATTGTGAGTCCTAGTATGAATATAACAATGCATCATGGAGAAATCCATGTGAATATAATTTCTTATTCCTTCATGTTCAGAAAATAAATTGGGATTAATGTAAGCCTAGGCTAATTTAATTTTTATTTCAAAGTTCTTAAATAAAAAGAGAGCATTCTGGAATGTACTAAGCATATCCAATGCCATAACAAATAAAACCATCATTAACAGTTTTTTATTCATTTGCAGAAACTAAATGCATCTAGTTCATCTGAAGGTAGTACAGTTGATGTTGGACTTCCCCAAGTTGGAGAACAACCAGAAGCTGAACCTGAAGAATCTCTTGAACCAGAAGCCTGTTTTACAGAAGGTGAATAATGTAAAATATTGCAAATCTTTCCGTGCCTGTCTTAAGGGCCCCCGATCTAGCAAAGGACACAACTGGCATAAAAAAGGAGATGTGCAAAGGCCTTCTTAGACAAGCTGACTCTCCAAGCAGGAGCTGTGAGTCTAGGAAAACACCCAGACTGTGTAGTAACCTTGAAGGGAGATGAAGTATTTCCAGATCAAGATCACGTGAAGTGTTAATACCACTTTACAATGTCTTGGTAAGGCCACACTTGGAATACTGCATCCAGTTTTGGTCACTGCGATGTAAAAAAGATGTTGAGACTCTAGAAAGAGTACAGAGAAGAGTAACAAAGATGATTAGGGGACAGGAGGCTAAAGCATATAAGGAACGGCTGCTGGAATTGGGTATGTCTAGTTTAATGAAGAGAAGGACGACGGGGGACATGATAGCAGTGTTCCAATATCTCAAGGGCTGCCACAAAGAAGAGGGAGTCAAGCTATTCTCCAAAGCGCCTGAAGGCAGGACAAGAAGCAACGGATGGAAACGAATCAAGGAGAGAAGCAACCTAGAACTGAGGAGAAACTTCCTGACAGTTAGAACAATTAACCAGTGGAACAACCTGCCTCCAGAAGTGGTGAATGCTCCAACACTGGAAGTTTTTAAGAAGAGACTGGACAGCTATTTGTCTGAAATGGTATAGGGTTTCCCACCTGAGCAGGGGGTTAGACTAGATGACCTCCAAGGTCCCTTCCAACTTTACTACTATTATACAGATCTGGACAGTTCAAATACCCACAGCCACATCATCTTCATACAGTTGAGTCAGAGATAGTTCCTCCCCATTCAAACCTCCAGGCACCGGGCTAGAATCTTGAATCAGTTGAAATACATATATGCAAAGTCTCAATTGTGATAAATAATTTCCTTTGGGCATCAGTGAAACTGTCCTATGAAAACTGATTTTGACAATATAGTACAGTGATGGCGAACCTTTTAGAGTCCGAGTGCCCAAACTGCAACCCAAAACTCACTTATTCATCGCCAGGTGCCAGGTGGGCGTGGCCCACTGGGTCAGCATGGCTGTGGTGGTCATGGCAGATTTGGTGGGTGTGGCCAAGGTGGGCATGATCACCTCGATGTTGCTTGTGGGGAGGGACGTCTGTGGGGGCTGGGCAGGGTTGGGGAAGATCCAGGGGGTCTCTGGCAGGTAGGGCAGTGGGCAGGAGGCTCGTCCTGCGGGGTGAGGCAAGGCAAGGATGGGCGGGGGTGCCATTGTCACAGGGAAAGGTGAGGCAGGGGGCGGGGCGGCTACTGCCTGACACCATCGGCCCCTACACACAGAGGCCAGTGAGCACATGGGTGCTGGGATGCATCCGGCCATGTGGGACCTTGGCGAGTTAGCGGGCAGCTGGTTGAAGAGGGACGGTTGCCATCTCTGGGGCATGGTGCACATGCCCACAGAGAGGGCTCTGAGTGCCGCCTCTGGCATGCGTGCTATAGGTTCACCACCACTGCTATAGTAGATTTCCAAAGCATCATTTCACATAAACCAATTAATTTTAGAATGAGAAAGGGCTCCAAAGCCATCTGCTGGTTTAAGAGTATATTCTGCTGAAGACATGTAGTACTGTAATTGTTACTCTGTTTTCATTTGCCATATCATCTTGCATATTTTGCCAGGCTGCATCCGGAAATTCAACTGCTGCCAAGTCAGTGTAGAAGATGGCAAAGGAAAATTGTGGTGGAATCTTCGGAAGACTTGTTACAAAATCGTAGAACATAATTGGTTTGAGACTTTTATTGTCTTCATGATTCTCCTTAGCAGTGGTGCTCTGGTAATTTTTAGAACTTGAAAACCATTCATTATCATAGAGATTTAGCGTAGGAAATAACCCAGACACATAATTGTCTTTTCTATGAGTCATAGCTATCCCTAAAGTAGTATGATTTTATTGCTTAATTGTTAGAGTTATATCCCACCCTTCATTCAGGAGCTCAAGGTGCTGCCCATAGCACTCTGTCCTACCATTTTTTCCCCTCACAATTACACCTCTACAAATATATTTGATTGACAGAGCAATTAGTCACAATTACAATTAGTCACTTATATAATTCAGGGTAGAGTTGAAGCTGGGTTTACCCAGTGCCAGTTAAATACCTGGCTTTCTGCACCAAAGTGGTTTTCAATACACGTTTTGTTTTAATGTATGCCGATTAGTGTACATTCAAAGTGACAATAACATTATTATTCTATTCTATTTTCCCTTTAAATTATTGCATATAATATTCCTACAGAAGAGGGTTGATTTTTGATGCCGTTTTAATCCCAAGTAGCTTTACAGAATGGGTGCATACTTTTAGTGCAAGGATTTTTCTTCTAAAAATGAGGTCCATTAATCCCAGTTAAGCAGTATGGTCACAATAAAATAAGATTTCTAAATTGTTCCAAATGGGATAGCAATTCATACTTATATATTGGATTCATACTAGAACAATGTTTTAAACTCCACTGTTACTTCTCTATGAGGGATTAGAGAGGGAAATGATCAATTAAAATGTTTTAGGCTTAGGATTTGGGGTCTAAAATCAGAATTAGCATGGCATTTGGTTTTACCCACTATTAAAAAATAAAAAAAAACCATTTGTAACTTTTGTCTTTCTATGGAATGGAACAGAAGAAACATAAGGAGCTACATATGACTAATAGCTTTATTCAGTTCAATTTGTGAAATTTGGGAATAGAATCCCAAAGAGATAACTTATTTTAATTTAGTTAGAGATGTCAATAATTGAATCTGCAATGTACTACATATAAAACAAGTCATCAGCCACTAAGGTATGGCTTCTTCCAGTAAACTCTATAAAGTAGACCTCTATCAATATCAAATGCTTTTGATAGTTTTACCATATTCTGATTTAATAAATATATTGATTAAAGTGAAGCATTTAAGCCTTTCAATAGAAAAAGTGGAGAACTGGTTTTTAGTTCTAGAATTTGAAAGCAAACAATAAATAATAAGCCATACTAAAACCAGGGGTGGGGTGGGGGAACTTCTGTCCCCAGGCTTTCGAAGACATATACATTGAGCAGCGCAAGACTATCAAGACTGTACTGGAATATGCAGACAAGGTCTTCACCTACATCTTTATTTTAGAAATGCTTCTAAAGTGGGTGGCTTATGGCTTTCAAGTATATTTCACCAATGCCTGGTGCTGGCTGGATTTCCTCATTGTTGACGTAGGTATTTTTTTTTCTTTAAGCTATCGATACATTGTAGCATGAATTTTTATAGCAATACAATAAACTCACTATTTTCAGAAAAGGAAAACTTCTGCTTTCAGCTGGGTGAATGGTGTTCAGTAGAATTGTCACTGAGCGGAATTCCCTTGGTGAAGCAGAACCTCTGGAAACGGAAATATACAGACGGGTTGAAGTAACATCAGTAAGCTTGAAATGATATGTGACAGGACATCTTTAGGTCCACAAAATTAAAAACTTTCTTATTTCCTTGATAATACCTCATGGAATGAAGTAAAGAATGGCCAAACATTTCTCCCCACTTCACTACCTTTGCTCATTTCAGCCTTCTCAAGAGTGGCATCTGATTCCCTTTTCATCTAAGCACTGAGCAGTGGATAGGAACATGTGGGCAGGCAAGGGAGAAAAGACCAGTCTTGTGCAAGTAGGACCAAGGGATCCTTTACTCCATCCTCTTTTGAAAGGGGAAAAAGATATAAAGCTCAAGAGATCTAAAGGTTCAAAACTTCTATCTTTGGAGAGAGAGAGAGAAAGAAAGAGAGAGACATGACAAGAACAAGATGGTGTTGGAGGAAAGTCTAAAAGACCTTAACTATGAACTCTGAGCCGCAAAAAGTGAGATTGCATATCCTAGAACAGTGAAAGGATAATCAAAGTAACTTTGTCTCTAGTTTCATAGGTGCAGATTCTGATTTATATAATTCTTTTTTTCATGCATCTTTGAACATTATTACCCAAGATGCTTCCAAGCAAGAGCAGACCATACAATCTTATTTTTCTTTGCTATTATCTTTAGGAAGAATATTTTTTTTAATATAATGTCTGTGACTTTAGCCATGTTATAGGAATATTTTCCCTAGCAGCCTTTCATTTCACGGGAGGCTGATTAATTTGAAAAGAAAAGTTTTTATATTTTTAACAATATTTATTTTTCATATTTATATAGTCTCCCATCTCACATGAAAGTGATTCCAGGCCACATACAGCCCTTAATTAACAAAAGCAAAAACATAAAAACATCACAATTAAAATAACAAAAAGGCACACAAAACAGGAGAGTGTAATGTTAACTACAGAAAGGGAGCTCTCACAAAAAGCCATCGCAAAAGTCTGCTCCATCTCTTGGGACCTTCAGGCCTAATAACATAGCCAGCTCTTGAGAGACTTGCAAAAGGTTGAGAGGGATAAATGGTTACTAGTTACCAGTATAAACAATTATGATTGCCAGTAAGTTTAACTTATAATTAACACTTGATTTATTGTTTCTACTCCCAGATGGCTTTTCCTCTAGCACAGGGGTAGTCAACCTTGGCTCTTTTATGAGTCGTGGACTTCAACTCCCAGAATTCCTGAGCCAACTAAGCTGGCTCAGGAATTCTAGGAATTGAAGTCCATGAGTCATAAAAGAGCCAAGGTTGACTACCCCTGCTGTAGCACATGCCTCAAGCTCATATTAGTTATAGAAGACAGCACTATAGTTTTCAGCTCACCTTTATCATTCTCTCATTTCTGTGATTATGGGATTCCTATTTATCCCACACAATGGATAAAGCTGCCATGCCAAGGCAGATAGACAGACCACGAGGTATAAAAAACAGAGGATTTGGAAGACCTCCTGAGTGATTGACCATTTGCCATTTCAAATGGGTACACTGGTGAGGAACATTATAGTTCTGGTTCTTGCAGTCAAGAGTCAGGAACATGTCAAAAACTGGAAGGAGTGAGCCAGAAATACTTAGGGGTTGGTGAATCCTCCATCATTTCATAAGAGGTGGTTGATTGAGTAATAACAGATCCCACCTCCCCCCCCACTCCACCCCCACCCTCCCCATGTATCTTTGGTTTTAATGTTTGTTTTTAACTTTTTACGTTTTAGCTTTTATGTAAGTGTAAGCTGCCCAGAGTTACCCTATGGTAAGATGGCCGGCCAATACATTTTATAAACAAATAAACAAAAACACACATAAGATGGTCTTAATTCCATAAGAGAATAGAGTGAGATGAACAAAAATAAAATTTCTACCAATCCATTGTTTCCTGCACAAATCCATTTGAACTTCAGTTGTGGTAATTTGGCCAGGATGATTTTTTTTATATATATATTGGGATATTGGTCAAATTGCTCATTTAGGACAACAGAATACATAAACTAGCACAGTGGTTCTCAACCTTTCTAATGCCGCGACCCCATAATACAGTTCCCCATGTTGTGGTGACCCCCAACCACTTATACATCACTGGGTGCCAGGGTGTGGCCAAAGAAAAGGGGGAAAAATGGCGGACAGCCTTGTTTGGCGACCCCCGTGAAATGGTCGTTCGACCCCAAATGGAGTCCCGACCCACAGGTTGAGAACCACTGAACTAGCACAAGGTTGCAAAGCAGAAAATCATTAAATCAATTGATTCAGATCTGCCAACTGACTTTATGAGAAGTGTAAGTTTGGAGCAAAATTTGGAATAAACTTTGGAGTAAAAAAGAGAACCAGTTTGGTCTAGTGCAGGGGTTCTCAACCTTGACAATGTTAAGGCATATGGACTTCAACTCCCAGAATTCCACAGCCAGCAATGCTGGCTGTGGAATTCTGGGAGTTGAAGGCCACATGCCTTAAAATTGTCAAGGTTGAGAAACACTGGCTCTAGTGGCTAAGGCACCAGGCTAGAAAGCCAGAGACCATGAGTTCCTGTCTCTATTTTAGCTATGAAAGCTAGCTGAGTGACCTTGGGTCAGTCATTCTCAGCCTTAGTGACCCACAGCATTGTTGTGGGGAAAATAGAAGGAAAGTGTGCCGGATATGTTTGCTGCCTTGAATTATTTGTAAAAATACTAAAGGCAGGTTACAAATAAATAAATAAATAAATATAAAATGTATAAACTTCAGAGTAGGACCAAAGATTTTAGTTCGTTTTCTTGCCATCTCTTTCTTTGATATTGCTCATTATACTCCTCTGAACTAGTTTGATTTTGTAAGATAATCTTCAGCTAAGACAGACTGGGGAGGTGGCGTTACCAGAGATTTCTTGGGAAACACGTGGTGACTATTATTTGCACAGTAAATTACTTTCTTTTCTTTTATTCATTTGTAGGTCTCTATTGTTAGCTTAACAGCGAATGCCTTGGGCTACTCTGAACTTGGTGCAATTAAATCTCTTAGGACTTTAAGAGCTTTAAGGCCTCTAAGAGCCTTGTCACGATTCGAAGGAATGAGGGTAAGAAAAATATGAAATAACATATGCTTGAAGCAAATTATTTTCTTAAAGATATGCTACAAATGTGTATCTCAAAGCCACTAATTTAAATTTCATTTAAAGTGGCCCTGGGCAACATCCTACTTCTATTCCCTTAGCCTCTAGGCAACATGAGAGAAATAATTCCAATATATCTAAAGCAGTGTTTCTCAATCTTGACAATTTTAAGGTATGTGGACTTCAACTCCCAGAATTCCACAGCCAGCATTGCTGGCTGTGGAATTCTGGGAGTTGAAGTCCACATGCCTTAAAATTGTCAAGGTTGAGAAACACTGATCTAAAGGCACTTATTTACCTCATTTTCAGATTATTTACTTTCATTTAAATCACATCTCTGAAATGGTGGATCTAATACATCATTAGAGAAGCTCCTTGATTCAAAAAATCAAGAGGTTGAATAGAGACCTGCTCCATGGTTGGTGGCCAGCCCAAATCTTTGAAGTTCATATGCCAGCCAGGATATATATTAATGTGAAATAACCAACAATCAATTATTTCCAGATTAGTTCCGCAGATCTATCTCGCCCTTTTGATAACACACATATTTGGAGGGCCCACATGCATACATTTCTAGGCTAACTCAGAACTGTAGCTACTTGTTTTCTTGCTGTATTTTCAGGGTAACATATTAACCAGATGGAAAATTATTTTCATAAGCCTCTGTTGCTTCATTATGGACTGTCCTTCCCATCTAGCTACAGAGACTATATGGAGGAGATAATTGAGCAATGTAATGATGATAACATCGAGGGTTATTTGATATTTAAATGCTAATATTTCCTTATAATTCATTTTCCTCTGACTTGCAACTTGGTTCTCCAAATGTGTGAGGCAAGAGTATTTTTAGGGTTAGGGTATTGCTAGGATACTGCACTGGAGTTATAAAACCTTCAATATATGTTCTGCCACATATTATGGTCCTTCCTCTTCAATTTTGTGAAGCTAAATTCTGGAAAGTCTTTCTTCCTCAAATCTTTCCCTAAATTTGTAATTTTCTTTGTAATCTATTATTACCATTACGGTCTTCAGCTGAGATTAAATTATAGCACAAAATTGCCAAGAAGCAAAACTAGGTATTAGAAATTTCCCTTTTCCTATCTCACTTTAGCAAATACGTTTTCACTTCTTTGGCTTCATGTGTTTATTACTTTGTATTACAGGTAGTGGTGAACGCTCTCTTGGGAGCAATTCCATCTATCATGAACGTGCTTCTTGTATGCCTTATATTCTGGCTAATCTTTAGCATTATGGGAGTGAATCTCTTTGCTGGCAAGTTCTACCACTGTGTTAATACCACAACTGGGGAAATGTTCAGCATTGATGAAGTTGACAATCAGACTGAGTGTGAGAATCTCATTGAAAAAAATGAAACAGCCAGATGGAAAAATGTGAAAGTCAACTTCGATAATGTGGGACTTGGCTACCTCTCTCTGCTTCAAGTAGTAAGTAGTTGTTCTTCCTATATTAAAATTTGAACAATGCAACCATTTTATTTTTCTCCCTTTAGCACAGCGGTTCTCAACCTGTGGGTCGCGACCCCATTTGGGGTCGAACGACCATTTCATGGGGGTCGCCAAACAACGCGATCCGCCATTTTTTTTCTCAGCTGGCGGCACCGCACATGTGCGCCGCGTCCTTATGACCGGGGTCGCCGGTATAAAAAGGTTGAGAACCACTGCTTTAGCAGGTTTTTCCTTTATTAGAAAATTCCATCAGTGTGAACAGTCAGTCACTTTACAAATGATTCAGCTGTCAGGTTTTGAAATGGATTGATTTTGCATCATACGTGGCATTCCTTAATCCAGCGGTTCTCAACCTATGGGTCGCGACCCCATTTGGGGTCGATCGACCATTTCATGGGGGTCGCCAAGCAAGGCTGTCCGCCATTTTTTTCCCTTTTCCGGCGGGTGTCTTACCTCCCTTGGACTGGGCCAGCTGGTGGCCCAGCCAGTGGTCTGACTGCTCCGTCTCTGCTGCTTGCCAGCTACGCCTCGGCCGGCGCAGGGGGCAGCACCATGCATGCATGGCACTCCCAAGCAGGGAAAATCCTTGACTTAGGATCGGTTGGGTAGTCCTCGACTTAGGACCGGTTTAGTCCTCGACTTACAACCGGTTGGGGGTCGCGGCATTAAAAAGGTTGAGAACCACTGCCTTATTCTTTCTCTTCTAAGCTCTTCTCTAAAATACACCTGTTAGCAAACCTTTTGCATGCCATATAAATTATATCTTATCCATGAAATAAATGATCATTAGTAAAATGCAGAGGTGCCTGTAATAGGTCGTTTATTTATTTCACTATACCTGGTGCAATCAAGCTATCTGACTCACCCCTGTTTAATAAATAGAAATTATCCATAACCGGAGAAGAGACCATTGGATATAGAGAATGGCTGTTTTTCAGAGCTGTACTAGGCTAGCAATGGTGGCTAGATAGAACGCAACTCTGGGTGAAATTCAACACGGCCTGATGGGAAATTACCTGTCTTTTTTTTACTTCCTGTAACACAATCTGGTACCAGCTCCCCAAGAATTCTCCTGAACAGATTTTAAATATATGTGGGTTGAAAGACACATTTTGAAAGAGAAAACTGGCAGGGGGATATGGAGTCTTCTAAAAGACATTTACAATTTACACAACAAGAACATTTAGGAATTATGTACTGTGTGCTTTTATTCCCTTGCTTAAAATATAATTGCCTGACTGCTGTTTGCAGGCCACCTTCAAAGGCTGGATGGACATCATGTATGCAGCTGTAGATTCACGAAATGTAAGTAAGCTGTTGGGTAGGGAAAACCAGTACTGGACTGCAAAAATATGATTGACTACAAGACGGCAGCAAAGACATATATGAAATTTGCATTCTTGCTACCATCTTGTAATTGCCTGGTAGACCAAACGCAGAGGGTTTTACTACATGGACACTTGCCTCCAAATCCTCCATAGCTACTCATCAGATCAGCAAGTGTTTCCCCGGAAGGGTCCAATTCTTTTTCACATTAAAGCTAAGTCAGGCAGGATTAAAGCAACCTTGCCATTGATCATAGAGTTTGTCTGCTTTCTTTTTCTTTTTCAAAGAGGCAAGGCAGGTAGGATGCTGGGATGAGAAGGTTATGGCTGGAAGATACGTCTGTGTGCTTGTTTGTTTGTTTGTTTGTTTCCCAGTGTATTTTACCTTAGAAGAGAATTTAAGAGGTAAGAATAGAGTCATAACCTCACCTCAGAAAAACAGAAGTGAAAATTTTTAAGAGGTAAAATGGATGCCATAAAGGCTTAAGGCACCCATTTTTGCTATTAAATCTTCCAACTCTTTCCCCACTCCTTCAATGTAAGTAAAGGTTTTAAAAATGGGTCTCAAATACTCCAGTATGTCTAAAGCCCAAGAAGAAATACAGGACCCCTTTTCTATCAAAGGATAATGACTGGAAGTAAGGTCTATGGAGATTCTCAGTCATCCAGGTCATAGTTGTCCCAAAGATGCTTTGTCATGAGGCAACTGGACTTTCTTGTTTTTCTTTGAAGATGTTTCGCAAAATGTCTTCAAAGAAAAAATAAGAAAGTCCAGTTGCTTGTGAAAAAGCATCTTTGGGACAACTAGAAGTAATAAAAAAAATATATTCCCTTTTGCTAGTTATAAAAATTTCAAGTAAAAAAGAAATGACTCAATCCAGTCATAATATTTCCCATTCTGATCTTTTAAAAAAATCAGACTATCTTAGCCATAGATAACTCTCAACATTTTCATTAGAATATAGACTTTATTTTTTTCATTGCAGTACATGAGTAGCTGATGCAAAACATTCCCAGAATAGGAACTATATGAATGCGTATTTACGGTATTCATCTGTAACTATGATACAGATCAAGAATACTTCAAATACAACATGATGTGGAATACAATAAAAACTAAGAAATAAAATCTAAAATATTGCTTTGCACATTAAGATCAGTAAAAAAGAATCTCAGGTGCCTTTTATTTGATAAAGTTTTCTATCATAATTTTATCCTATTTCCGAGAAGCAAAAAGAAAAGAGAATCAGATATCAAAAACACACAGACACACACACACACATCAACATATACTTTTTGTTTCATTATACTTTTGTGTATATGTGTACATATAGTTTCAAGAAACCAGACGAGTTATAGTTCCATAGCTACGAATTACACAAGCTTCATTGCATATAGTAAAAGAAATGTGTGATATAAATGGGAGATCTCCTTTTGTTGAAATGACTGTTTTCCAAGAAAGCAGTAAAACTCTTTCCCAACGACTGGTCCCAATGAAAAACTGTGGCCACATGCTTAAAGCTAACATTTTTTAAATGCATTAACATATTGTATCATAATTAGCAGAATGCATAGGCTCTATCTCATCCAGAAAGTCTGTTTCATTCATTTCCATTTGGTTTCTTCTCACTTTCTCCTAAGCTCAGGATGTGTCTTTCTTTTTAACTACTTCTTTGAATCTAAACACCTCAATTGTCTATTAGCAAAAGCCATGTGCTCTAGCATGAAATCTACATCAGTGGATTTTAGAGAGGAGAGCAAATAGAGAAAAGTGAATAATAACTGAGAAGAAAATGCTTTAGTTGAATAATTGTACATAGATACTCTATGTAAATGTTAAAAATTGGTGAATTTCTCTATGCTGTTCTTAATAACTGTTTCATATAAAGACTAAATATGGTAAGGCTTGGCCCAGAGTTCACACTTCATAAAAATAATACCCATACATTTTATAGAATTGAATAGAACATTTTCTGTTTAAAAATTTGTTTCCCTTGCAGGTGGAAAAACAGCCACATTATGAGGATAACCTTTATATGTATCTTTATTTTGTCATCTTTATTATTTTTGGATCCTTCTTCACTTTGAATTTATTTATTGGTGTCATTATAGATAACTTCAATCAGCAAAAAAAGAAGATAAGTATTTTATCGCTGTGATTTCAGAATATCAGATGTTTTATTTTAACAAAAACATTGTGCTTTGTGTATTTCTTCTGATTTTTCTTTCTTTCAAATAATGCAACTATTATTCCAATGTGTACATCCTAAAAATAAGTTGTAAACATTAATTCTAAAATTGCCAGTGTAAAAAAGGAGCATATAGTGTGTTAAAACCAATACATGAAATGAAAGATTTCCACCATAAGTTAGTTTTAAAGGAGGGAGTTATATAAACAATTACATTGTAAGATAATGTACTACTTCATGTAAATAAAAGTCAATGCATGAGCCGAGGTGGCGCAGCAGTTAGAGTGCAGTACTGCAGGCCACTTTAGCTGACTGTGTTCAGCAGGTCAGCGGTTCAAATCTCACCGGCTCAAGGTTGACTCAGCCTTCCATCCTTCCGGGGTAGGTAAAATGAGGACCCAGATTGTTGGGGGCAATGTAAATATATATATACATTGCTTACTGGTGTACACTGCTTAGAGAGTGCTTGCACTTAAAGCGGTATATAAGTCTCATAAATAAATAAATATATACATACATTGCTTACTGGTGTACACCGCTTAGAGAGTGCTTGCACTTAAAAGCGGTATATAAGTCTCATAAATAAATAAATAAAATATGCATAAGGATCTCATAAATCTAAATAATAAATAGTTATTCTTGGTAATGAACACTTCTGGATGTCATTTGGGATGTGGTCCTTTTCCACACTTATCTTTTTTTATCATGCTTTTCATTTTTCAATATGGGCTTTGGGTTGTTTTTTTTTTTAGTTGTTGAAGGTATTTGTATTATGAGAGCTGAAAAATATTTTTTTTTCAATTGTTCATTTATTTATTTCGTAACCTGGAGGTTTTATTATTTTTTGTTTTTTTCTAACTATAGATGTTTTTATTTTATTGGGGGGGGGGTTGTTATAAGATACTAGAAATTTAGACAAAAGTTTAATAAATGATGATAATGACGGCGACAGAAATGATGATGGCAGTGCTGAGAGACTACTGTAGTAACTATACTTTTTCAGTCTGCTGTAACTTTGCTGAAATTAAATTCCTGACCTTAGCTGAACTATGGAAGAAGGATGCACTGTTCTCTACCCATTAGGGAGCCACCCCTAACGAAGGGAAGCACAAAGAGTAGGTGTGCTTACAGATGGAAACTCTGCACACTTGTACATGCATGCATACAACATCAGCCCTTGTACAAAGGAGCAGAGCTTGTGTTTGGGATTGCTCCCGCCATTTTGCGCTCCCCCACTTGCTCGGCTTTTGCTTTATTAATAGGCAGCCCAAGGAAAGAGATTGTCCATCAAATAAAAGTCAATATATAGAAAAACAGAAAGAAAAAAGGAATAGAAATGTCTGGTTGTAACTAGTGTTTGTTTCTCCTTTTTACTTTGGAGGTCAAGACATCTTTATGACAGAAGAGCAGAAAAAATACTATAATGCAATGAAAAAACTGGGCTCCAAGAAACCACAGAAACCTATACCCAGGCCAGCAGTAAGTGTTATGGTTTTTTTTTTTCATTGTTCTCACTGTTTTCGAAAATGCATGCTAGAGTTAGAAAACAATTTACACCTTATAACCCCCCCCAAAAAAATCTTTTTAAATTAGTAAACTGAGGAAGAGGTGGGCCCGGGTCATGGCTTAGTAGCAGGCTGCAGCTTGGGGGTTGGAAACCCCTAGATTACTCTACAGTTTTCAATGGTTTCTAGCTTAAACACTTTGGGGGAAAAAAAACATGTTACAAACTGTCAATAATCACACCACCAAAATTGCACAGTACAATTGGAAAAGGTCTGAAGGCTATGCTCCTTATATTTAAATGAGTTTAGAGCTGACCCAACCAATCTAGCATTAACAAATCAAAACAGGGTTATTGCAGTAATTGTTATATATTCCTATCTGATTCAGGTATTCCATGAGACTGTGAAATCCCACAGGAAAGCTATTAATGGATATGCTTCATATTTCATAACTTCACACTTTTGGAGTGTTAACTGACTTTCCGGGAACATAGTGGTATTCTATTCTTGCTGCACCTTCTGTCTATGCAGTTTGACTAGTATACTGTACAATGGAGTTTATAGAAGTTTCAGATCATAAATGATAATTATATAGATTATAATTGTCTAAAACTGATCATGGCATCTATGAATAATCTTTATTTTCTTTAACTACAGAACAAATTCCAAGGCATGGTCTTTGATTTTGTAACAAAACAAGCCTTTGACATCAGCATCATGATTCTTATCTGCCTTAACATGGTTACCATGATGGTAGAAACTGATGACCAAACTGATGCAATGGAAACTAATTTGTATCGAATTAATTTGATCTTCATAGTCCTTTTTACTGGAGAATGTGTCTTGAAACTGATTTCGCTCCGCTATTATTATTTTACAATAGGCTGGAATATTTTTGATTTTGTGGTTGTCATCTTATCTATTGTAGGTAAGAAAATTTTCATTGTAGTAAAAGATGTATCATGTTTATAAATGAAAACTATGAGTAATTAACAGATGATTTTAATGTTTAAAATAGGTTTCCTCCCTTACGTTTTCATACAAGATTGTATTAACATCTAATTAAAGTTTTAAATCTACATTTCAGATTAATAGACATTTAATGTTTGTTTATAGGTATGTTCCTCGCAGAGATTATTGAGAAATACTTTGTGTCCCCCACTTTGTTCCGAGTAATTCGGCTTGCCCGGATAGGTCGAATCCTGCGTCTGATCAAGGGGGCAAAAGGGATCCGCACTCTGCTCTTTGCCTTGATGATGTCTCTCCCTGCCTTGTTCAACATTGGTCTCCTCCTTTTCCTGGTCATGTTCATCTATGCCATATTTGGAATGTCCAACTTTGCCTACGTGAAGAGAGAAGTTGGCATTGATGACTTGTTCAACTTTGAAACTTTTGGCAACAGCATGCTCTGCCTCTTTCAGATCACCACCTCTGCTGGCTGGGATGGCCTGCTAGCACCCATCCTGAACAGCGGGCCTCCAGACTGCGACCCGGAGATAGACCACCCGGGTAGCTCAGTCAAGGGAGACTGTGGCAATCCTTCGGTTGGGATTTTCTTCTTCGTCAGCTACATTATCATCTCATTTTTAGTTGTAGTGAACATGTACATTGCTGTCATTTTGGAGAACTTCAGCGTCGCTACCGAAGAAAGTGCTGAGCCTTTGAGCGAGGATGATTTTGAGATGTTCTATGAGGTCTGGGAAAAGTTTGATCCGGATGCAACCCAATTCATAGAATTTGCCAAACTCTCTGATTTTGCAGCCTCTTTGGATCCTCCTCTTCTAATACCAAAACCAAACAAAGTTCAGCTTATTGCGATGGACCTGCCCATGGTGAATGGTGATAGAATTCACTGCCTTGACATCTTGTTTGCTTTCACCAAACGTGTCTTGGGTGAAAGTGATGAAATGGACGCCCTCCGTATTCAAATGGAAGATCGGTTTATGGCCGCCAATCCTTCAAAAGCCTCCTATGAACCAATTACCACCACATTGAAACGAAAACAAGAGGAAGTATCTGCTGTTATTATTCAGCGAGCCTTTAGGCGCTACCTCTTAAGGCAAAAAGTTAAAAAAATTTCCCACATGTTTAATAAAGATAGAATTAAAGAAGGCAACGATACAGTTATCAAAGAAGATATGATCATTGATAAGCTAAATGAGAATTCTACTCCTGAAAAAAACGATATGACTCCCTCCACCACCTCTCCCCCTTCCTATGATAGCGTTACAAAGCCCGACAAAGATAAATATGAGAAAGACAAATCAGAAAAAGAAGATAGAGGTAAAGATGTCAGGGACTATAAAAAATGAGCAAAATGAATGATTCCTTTATGACAAATTGTTTACAGTTTGAGAAAGTAAAGTATTATTTCAAAAGGACTCCTATAGGAGGTTTATGCCAAACTGACTGTTTTTGCACACTTAGACAGACATACACACACATAAAAATATCTATAAATATATTATGTATGTATGTATATATATGTGTGTAGATATATATATATATATATACATACAAATGTTAGCTATATACTTAAGGTCAGTGCCTATTAACAAGATAGTGACCCCTTGCCAATTCAAATGCTGCTCTGTAAAACAGGATGGCACTTTTGACAGGCGACTCCTGTTTGCATTACCAGCTGACACTGCTGAAGAGGAAAGAAAAATGGCTATCCAGACTGTAGGGAATCAGTAAAAGAGGTGCAAGCCTAGAATTGACCTGTGTTGATCATAAAATACTCAGAAACAATAACCGTATCCGCTGTTTGCATTCCAACTGCCACACGTTTGCCATATTTTTACAAAAACCCATGTCGGTGAAGTTGTCATTTTTTTAATCCACAGGTTGTTTACTATTATATGTGACTATTTTTGTAAATGGGTTTTATGTTGTGGGGGTGGGGAGGGGGATTCCAGGGTCCGGGGGGGGACAGGAGGACCGGCTGTCTGATTCTCTTGTCCTGTTCAGGCAGAAGTGACTTGCATGAAGGCATGCTGCACTTGTACACCACGCATGGAAACAAATAGGACTTCAAAGACTTCTATGTTTCAGGATGGCTCCAGATTCCAAGGTGCTTAAAAATAATATAGATCTTTATGTCTCATCCTGATAATTCTTATGTGCCTGTAAGTCTCATGAAATCAACAGTTGTTCAACTCAGATGTTTTTCCTCCCTCCCCACCTCACCTCCTCCTCCTCCAAACTATTCCATTACGAAGGTGACATGAACATTGACTACGGTGTACATCCACGCATACGTATTTGATCACCATCCCTATTGAGTTCAGGGGCCATACTTTAGAGGAAGAGCGTATAAAATTGTACTCTTAATTGTAAAACTGGGTGGAGCTAATGGGAAGTATCTTCTTAAGAATCCTGGAGCATCCCTTACGTTAATCTGGAGCACTGTACTATCCAAAAAGGGGGACGGGGGAAGTTGGACATCCGGAAGTTAGTTTTTACTTTCTCCTCCAGTATTGTTTAGCCATCTTCTGCTCTCAGCAAGGTTGACATTGTATGTGTCAATGAGATAAAGCTGTCTATGTAAATAGTTACTTTAACCCTGTGGTGCGTGTTTGAGCAAAGGAATAATGACCTGTGCACAATATTTATTGCATCAAATATGTACCACAATAAGTGTAGTTCGCAAACCTTGAACAGGAAAATATGATGTATTCTGTACCATTATAAGTAGCTTGGAGGCTATCATGATGCATGTTGTTTATCTTGCCTTCGCTACTGTATTTTTCTTGGATTTGTTCAGAAATCTAATATGGGAAGCCATATGTTGGTGGCAAAAGTGAAACAAAATTGTTCAATCAGACGTCATTCCTCATTTCATCAAGCAATAGTTTGCAGCTAGTGGGGGTGGGGGCTGGGAGGGAGGGAGGGAGGGAGGGAAGCTTCTTGCTCTGCCCTGACTTCTTTGATTCTTCTCTGGAACTTTATGTGAGTATTATACAGTGCGTAGCCAGCTGTACACTTCATATTGCAAACAGCATAATCTGTCCAGAATAAATGGTTAAACATTTTCTAAGGAAAAAATATAAATAGTGTACAAATTTCATTCAGTTTTATTTTTCAGCATTTTGTACATAAATGACAAAACTGATTTTCAGGTCGACGTCACAGAGGGTCCTTTTATTCACAGCACTTTTTAATTGAAGAATTTCACAAAGTGGAAAAAATACCGAAAGAAGGGAATGGGGAGAATGTCAGGTTTCCGGGTTGCTTTTTTTTTTTTTAATTAGTACTGTATTTTTGCACACATCTTAATGTGATTTTTTTTTTTCAGACTGAGTCCAAAATGCACTTGCTTCCAAATAGCTATAACTTGTAATTGAAATGTAGTGGGAAAGATTTGTTTGAAATTCTAGCACTGCCTGCATCAGCAGTTAGACTTATTATTCAACATCCTTAATCTTTTCCAGTGTTTGTTTACATAGACTATTATTCTTCTTATTGATTCATGCTGCACTAGAAGTCTTTTAAATATTATACACGATTTCACAATTATTATGTTTTTCATACAAAATTAAGTATCTAACTTGTATATCTGATCCCATCAGGACATTTTCTTTTTGTATTCCATCCACAAAGAAAAATTAAATGTTAATTCCTCCTTTTACCGAAACTGTTGACTTTGTGTCTTGGTGAACTGCATGCAGGGAAAATGCTATTACCATAAAGAACGGTAAGCCACACTACAGTTGAGCCAAAAGAATAAAGACTTCTTTTTTTATTTTATTTTATTTCATGATTCTGTCATTTTTTGTGTGGCTTTCTGGCCTTAAATATGTGCTCATAAACTTAATAAAAATAAAAACAAATTGATGTTTCAATTGTAAATGCATTTCCGGGGGCTTGTATCATATTTGTCACTGTACTCAGCCTGAACATGAATCCATTTCTCAGTGATAAAGCATAGAATAACTTATATATTGCCATCAATTCCAAAGCAGTAGTACTTTTGGGAACAAGTTAGTTTCATTTTTGAGACTCAAATCCTCATGTTTCTCTCCAGGTTGGATTATACACATAGACCACATTCTAATGTTTCAACACTTGATTTGATGACTTTGAATTTATTTCATTGGGATGGATGGTGTCTGCAGTGGTATGAAAGTCCTAGCCCATAATTTGTTGATTTATCTCTAGTACTACTGTTGTTGTTGACTACTTCAGCTGAAAAGCCACCCAAACCATAAGCTGAATAAAGAAGAACAAAATTCCTGCCAGCATCCGACTAAAAGGGAAAGAAAGGTGAGGAAGGAAGAACAACATATAGAGTATCACGTTGGAATTCTTAAAAGTCACAGTATTCATAAGGATCTAAAATAAGTGAAAAAATTCAGAAAGAAGATCAACCAAAATTGTTTCTGCTGGTCTTCCTCTACAATACAACCAATAGAATAGCCCTGCTGAGAACTCTAAAGTTAGCTGGGAACTTGCAGTGACAAACTGATACAAATGCATGTGAAAAGGAACCCAGAAATTCAAAAGTGTGTGTGTGTGTGTATATGTGTGTGTGCACGCTTTTATACTCTTAAGTAGTTTTATTATTATTCTGTGTGAAATAATTGGGCAAAAAAATCCTTCACATGACAGTAATTGTGCTTTATGTATATAGACTGCATTCATATTTTCTTATTCTAGCTAGTATCTTGATTAACATTAATTAGTTAAAACAAGTCTTGCGAGACATTTTTTGATTGGATAGCTTCCTTAATAGATTCTAAAATTGCTATAGACATGATCTATTCTGACTTCAGCAAAGCATTTCACAGCTGCCCCATAGCATACTGATTATCAATCTAGTTATTATAGGTGAGATGACATGTCAGTTGAGGATAATTCCTTGAAAACCATACTTGAATGCTCATCAGCAGATGAAAAGGGTCTCAAGATATGGTGCAACAAATATCAGTCCTGGGTCCTCTACCCATCTTTAATAGCAATAGCAGTAGCATTTAGATACTATCCCATAATGCTTTACAACACTCACTGAGTGGTTTAAATGTCAGCATATTGCCCCCAACAATCTGGGTCCTCGCTTTACCAACCTCGGAAGGATGCTGTCATGGTTCCAACAGACAGATGAATAAAGCAGAACTCCGAGGCTTACAAATTTCTCAACATGTTTATTAGTTACAAAGTATTGGCACGGTCAAGAGTGAAACCAAGTCTGGATACACACATAACAATTCCCCAATACAAAGTTAAAAAACACACCCATAAAGCTATACGAGCAACTACATTCCCCAATGCAGTTATTTGGCGGGCTTTTTTCACAACACCTAGCCTGCAGGCTTGGGAGCAGCCGATGACCTTGTTTCCCACAGGACAAAAGATTATTATTATGACTAGCGAAGCACCTGGGCAACCCTCCCTCTCTCCGTTCTATGTGGCAACCCAGAATGAGCAGGAAAATGGCTGTAGCCGTGCTCATTTGCAGCGTTGACGGACGCAAGGCTAAGTCAACCTTGAGACAGTCAGGATCGAACTACTGGCTGTGGGCATCATTAATTATTGGAATAAAGAAAAGGAATGTTTAGCAAATGTGCAGTTGGTACAAAAGTGGATGGGATAAACAGAAATAAATCCCTTGAAAGGTTAGAAAAATAGTTATGAAATTTAATGGAGACTATTCCAAAGGGTTTTGTTTAGTAAACAAAAATGAATGCACATTATAGAAGAACTGTGGCATCGAGGTTGCAACATATTTAATATGTATAGATTTCAAATACCATAATTTAAATAAAAACACTTGACATTGCACATTCTCTTAACCATTCTGTCAGGTAGCAGGCTTTCCTATATTATCTGAGCACCCATAAAAACCCAAAGGTGCTTTTTCAAAAGGCAGCTGGACTTTCTTTGTTTTTCCTTTTTGCTTCTCATCCAAGAAGCTTCTTCAGTTCTGAAGAAGAAGACTGAAGAAGCTTCTTGGATGAGAAGCAAAATGTCTTCAAGGAAAAACAGAGAAAGTCCAGTTACCTTTTGAAAACATACCTTTGAGACAACCAGGACCTATTGATTGAAAATCTCCATAGACACCTATAAAAATATTAACAGGTTCCTCAAGGTAAACTTCTCATGGATATGTCCATGTAGTTTTCTCTACAACAATATATTCTGGGATTTCCCCCTCAAATTCTAATCTATATAGCTCAGGATCCCAGCCAAGTACTAATCAGATCTGACCTTGTTTAGCTTCCCAACCCAAACATGATTGGTCAGCTTTGAAGTAAACCATTATCTGTTTGAAGTAAACCATTATCTGGCTACCATTATCCACAGTGTGAGAACTAAGATATCTGACCAATGGTGTAAAAATGTTAGTCTATCATTAGTCTATCATTTTTCTGAGTTAGCTTCCAAATGATAGGTTTTTTTGACAGGCCACTTTTCTGACTCTTTTAAAAATATATATGGTTTATTCCAGATTTAGCTGGAATGCATTAACTGTTTCCTACCTGTATGTCTTGTTATAGAAATGAGTAATAAAGACCTTTTTCAGGCTTTAATCAGTGACTGATTAAATAAAACCATGAAAGAAATGCTGCATTTTCATGTAGAAATTAATCTAAACATACTGATTCCCTCCCTGAGAAACTGCTTTCTGTTCTGAGAAATATAGGCAAACATTAATAGCAAACCCGTTGTATTGTAACATTGGGATATAATCACTGACTTTTTGCAGTTCCTATGGCAACCATCATTTTTGATCAGTCAAGAATAAGGCCACATGTAATATTTTTGCAAAACAATGTTGGTTGATAGGAAAATTAGGAAGGAGACTGCAATTTTCTGTTATTATTAATTACAGCAATTTAAATATTGAGCTATATTTCTTTTTCCGAACAGGTACACTAGTACCATAGAA